AAAAAACAGGGAAAACTGGGAAAAAAACCTGGGAAAAAAACAGGGAAAAAAGTGGGAAAAAGACAGGGAAAAAACTGGGAAAAACTGTGGAAAAAACTGTGAAAAAAAAAGGGAAAAAAACTGGGGGGAAAACTGGGAAAAACTGGGAAAAAACAGGAAAAACTGGGGAAAAAACTGGGAAAAAAAAGGGAAAAAAACTGGGGAAAAACTGGGAAAAACTGGGAAAAAACAGGGAAAACTGGGAAAAACTGTGGAAAAAACTACGAAAAAAAAAGGGAAAAAAACTGGGGGAAAAACTGGGAAAAACTGGGAAAAACTGTGGAAAAAACTGGGAAAAAAACAGGGAAAAAAGTGGGAAAAAACCAGGGGAAAAACTGGGAAAAACTGTGGAAAAAACAGCGAAAAAAAAAAGGAAAAAACTGGGGAAAAAACTGGGAAAAACTGGGAAAAAACAGGAAAAACTGTGAAAAAAACCTGGGAAAAAAAACCTGGGAAAAAAGTGGGAAAAAAACAGGGGAAAAACAGGGGAAAAACTGGGAAAAAACAGGGAAAAACTGTGAAAAAAACCTGGGGAAAAAACAGGGAAAAAAGTGGGAAAAAAACAGGGGAAAAACTGGGAAAAAACTGCGAAAAACTGGGAAAAAACAGGGAAAACTGGGAAAAAAACCTGGGAAAAAAACAGGGAAAAAAGTGAGAAAAAAACAGGGAAAAAACTGGGAAAAACTGTGGAAAAAACAGGGAAAACTGGGAAAAGAACTGGGAAAAAAACTGGGAAAATGAGGAAATTCAGTGAGCAGAATCACCACCTCAGCACCCACGGGATCCATTAAGAAGTTTTATCCCACAGGTTCTCAGGGATAAAATTCCCATTTCCTCCCCTGGCTTATTCTGACTGATTCCTCTGGATTTTGGAGCTTCATTTCCAATTCCAGCTGCCCTGGGAATGTTTGATTTTGGATTTTGGATTTTCACAAAGTGCAGGGAAGCTGCTGCTTCCCTCCAGAGCAATTTAAGATGCCATTCCCAAGGTTGCTGGAAGCAGGGAAGATTCTTTGCTTTCAGATTGGATTATTGTTATATTAAAAAAAAAAGAAAAAAAAGAAAAAAGCTGATCAGGATTTATTAAATTGAAAAAAAAAAATTGGCTCTTTCAGCCCTCTGGTGGTGAGGAACAGCACTTGGAGAAAATCAGTTCTTGGATTAATTTTGGGACTTGGAAGAGCAGAATTATTTTGGATTTTACAGCACAATAATTTTGGAGGAATGAAGTTACTCCCTGAATGCCAAGCCCTCAAAAAAAAAA